AAATCTCAATGGGATTATCATGGTTTAACCACCTAAACTACGTCTGGAAGACATCAGAATCAGATAACTTAAATTTAAGAATTGGTCGGCCCCCATAAATTTCAGAATGATTAAGTCAGAAAATTGAAAAGAACGCTATTTTTTTTTTTAATGAAGGATTCTGATCTTAACATGTAGCCATGATACCAATTGTTGAATTTAATTATAACCATGCTAAGAATCGAGAATCACAATACAATAAATTAATAAAATGAATTCATACATACGGAAGCCATTGTTGATATGAATAATAGTTATAATAACAGTCAGATCTTCCCCTCTTTACTCTTCGCAAACTATTAGCCGTCAATAAGGCAAGCTAATAAAAACAATATGGAAAGGAGAGGGGACCTAGCCTTTATATAGGAAATTATTGAGCCGTCCCATTACGACTGAAACTCTAATTATGGTTTACATATATTTCCAGCCCACATACTTAAAATTACCACATCAAACTAAATACAACTCGTAAGGTATAAAATGTCCAATTAATCACCTAATAATTTTGGCCAAATAACAAATATCATTATGAGCCTTACATCTAACCTGTAAAATAAACAATCGAATGTGAAGCCCATATTTGGAATTATTTCATCATATATATCACGGTGTTGGATGAATAAATAGACTAGTACATGCGTGTTCTTTTGTTCGATTGACATGTACATGTGTTCGTGTTTTACGATTTCCATGGACAAGATAAATTAAATGATATTGTACAGTAACAAGAAAGAAAAGACGTTAAAATCTTGATTATCCTACATATATAAAAGGGCGAAGCAAAGGCGAGACACGTGTCAGCCATAGATTTCGTCTTATACTTTTTCTTTCTTTTTTATTGTCTTGGATGAATCCCATACCTTTTGTGCATTTCTTACACTCCATTGACAATTCATCTGCTCTTTTGATTGATCTCTGTAACTTGATTTCTTGCTTTCTCTCCTATTACTACGAAGATACGAAGAAAACAAATTCGTCTTACCGACGTGTACCATTTCTCTTCGATGGACAGAGGAATCCCAGACAAATCTGGAAGGTTGAAATTTTATCCTCAAAACTTCATTCTCATGTATCTTTCTTCAACTTTCTTCGATCTTATTGCTTATCTGTTAGATCTTTTTTTCTTTTTTATTTTAAGTGTGTAAACATTCTAAAAAAATGAAAATCTGCTTAGAAATTGTACAGTGGCAATCAGATCTCCATTGATTAAGGTTTATTTTATTTTGGTGATATCATTTCTTTTGTTTGATCTTTGATCTTTCTTTTTTTTTTTTTAGTTTGAACAGCCTTGTCCATCAGAAGGTCATTGAGCGATTATCAAAGATTTCTAGCTGCAATGATTGGTATTGTTCATAATTCAAGATTTTCAAATGCTTTTTTTTAATTGTGATTTTGGATTCTTGGAATTGATTGAAATTGTGTTTTCGTAGTTGATGTCGTAGAAAGTAGGAGGCCTCCTCTGCAGTGTTCGGGATTAGATGGACAAAAGAATTCTCTAATTTGTATGCAAGTATGTTATGA